AAAGGTCCTCTTGTGAGCTTGAAGTCATGTTAGAATGTTGTTATCTCATCAAAAACATACCTGGCGTTGGGTTTTGTTTCATTCACACATGGCTGAGTAACACTTTCTTCTTAGGCTGTCTACATTTCTTAAGATCAAAATGCTCTGTTCTGCCTTGTGATGTCATGTACTGGTAGTTTTCAAGTGAACAGCTTCTTTTACCTTTTGTTCAGAAGTTATTGGTAATTCCAGGCCTAAAATTATGCAAATGATTCTAGTGAAGGTGTGTGGAGTTTTAAAATGTGCACATGAAACAAAACAAAACTCCAGGTACGTTTTTTATGAGGAAACAACATTATAACATAGATCAGAAAATAACATAACATAGGCCCTTTAAATGATAGTGGGACACCCAAATTGGCTCTGTATTCCCAGTTACAATAAGACAGGTTACAGTCATGGACAGTACTATGTTGAGCTCCTGTTTGCTGTAGAGTATTAGTTCTACACTTTACTGACCTACACTCACAGCAGTCCCCAAGGCGAGTGGTCGGCAAAGCAGAGAGGTCTGCCACTGCTCTTTGGCTGCACCACTGAAGCGGAAAGCAAGGAAATCCAGACATTTTCAAATTTATCGTTGAATAAACTGGCAACGTGGCGAGCGTCTGACAGGCCATTTATTGTAGCGGGCACTGGCCCAATGGTGTGCTCGGGCAGGTCTGCTGTGCTTTGATTTCCTGTCTTGGGAGCTGTGACAGATGAGCTATAGCCAAGGCTCTTCACAAGGCCGTACCTTCCTGCCCACCGGTCCACTACTCTCACTCCGGTTTCTCGGCTCACTCTGGTCCCTGTGGAGAGCTGCAATCTTGCTGATGGACAACTGGTGAATTTGATTTCAATTTGCCTGAGATCAAACTTCATAACCATAGTTCCCTTGTAACAGCACCAAATTTGGCAAAATGTGATGAGAAAGTTCCCTTCTGGGGTTGTGCTAACTGGCTACTAAAATGTGCCCATCATGAACAGTGTACAGAACAAGTGCAGCTGTCATTTGCATTAGTGATCTTCAGAGTAAAAGGTTAATAAACTTTAAATGTGAACTACACTGACTGCCACATTCATGGTTAATTTCTGATAAATGTAGACTGCAAAGAGCAAAAGCTTGAGGGCTCTTCTCTGCTTCTTGTATGTTGCATGTCTTTTGCAAAACAAGCAGAAGAAAACTCTCATTAATTCATGCAGCTTGGCTTACTTGGTCTTTTGCAACATATTAAATACCAGTAGGGAAAACAATATCTCCCCAGTGTACCCTGGGCATGGCATGGTTATCAATTTCCAAAAAATGTGAATGTACTACAGAAAAATTGTGTGACTTGGCTAATCAATATATATATCACTATATATCTCCGTATATCTATATCTATATCTATCTATCAATATATATCTATATATCTATATCTATCTATCTATATATATCTATATATCTATATCTATCTCTCTCTCTCTCTCTCTCTCTGTCTCTCTCTCTCTCTCTCTCTCTCTCTCTCTCTCTCTCTCTCTCTCTCTCTCTCTCTCTATATATATATATATATATATATATATATATATATATATATATATATTTAACTAGTCAACTACTACAATAATAATTAGATTGCAGCCCTAGTTTGGAGAGAAGAGATTTGGTCAAACTGAGCAGCCATATCATCAGGAAAATGCATCCATATTGTACAAGGCCAAAGAGAGCAATTTTGTGAGACATAGTTCACATACAACTTTCCCAACAGCAAGACTGGACAGAGCAGCCTGTTTCAAAAGGACTTGAAGAGTACAAGAATACTCCATGCTCCATTCTTAAAGCTCATGGCTCTGAGGATTAAGTGAGCAAAGAACCAAGAATATTTTGAGGCATGAGCAGAGCTTTGACAATCAAGGAATATCAGAGATATATGGAGTGGACTCATTAAGTCATTTTTACACAGTAAAGCCGTAATCATGACCATTTCAACAGAAAATGTGTCCATAAGAGATGTCTGAGGGAGGAGGCCAAAGTTGTTTCTATGGTAAAAGCTTCATTCTGGGGTTATAATAACAGGTGGGAGACAGGGCATTTTAAGACACAGCAAATTAGAAGCAAAAGGCGCACATTTCAACGCACACCACGGACAGTTCATTTTTCACATCACTGTCTACTTTTGTACTCGGCACACTGCCAAAGACACTATCCCTCCTCCACAGCGGTAATTATACTGCCGGCCACTGCTTGATTAAAAGATCTAATCTGCAAACTTAGTGTTCGACATCTCCCTATGTGTCCTAGCACGTTAAGCTTGTACTAGCCTTTTAGAGTGACACACTGTTTAGTCGCATGGAAGACGGCCAATGTCAGGCCGTGGAACATCCACTGGTGTTGGGCACTAGAGTGAAAAGTGTAATTGCACAAATGGATTTGTTAGTAACATTGTGAATAGAGTTTGTGGGGTTTCAATGATTTGAAAGCACAATAAATGCATATGCCTGTTTATTGAAGAAGAAAAAAAAGAAAATGGTCGTGTGTGCAGATGATGATTAGTCATAGTGGCTCCATACGGCTGTACACAAAACATTCACACCAGTATCATGACACACACCCCCATATCATGAATTTTTAAAACAATGTTAATTTAATCTGAATTGCTAAATTATACACAATAACTACATACAGACTACTGCATTACAAGGCCTTACAGGCTGAGCTGAAAAAGTGAGTTTTGGTCAGAGCAGTCATGCAGCATGTGAGCTCACTCTCTTCACGAAGAGACACAAACATTTGTCTCAGCCGTGATATCATCTGAACTGCAATTGTGGAATGATAATGATCTTGCATATTTTTTAGATCGGACCGTCTGGCTCTGTGGAAGAGTCCGACTAGCTCCCATCACAAACATAGTGGGGTAATCATCGCCCCTTCCACCTCCATTAAAACTCTAAAAGCATTAGCTTTGGGGTATATTTAGAAAATGGTCTTCTGTTTGAATATTATGTTCTGTTTTCCACATGGCCGGCAACAATCTGCAAGATCTGTCAAACTGATCACGTCTGGGAACAACAGCTGATAAGAGACACCTTGACCAAGGCGTAAGTCTGTCCACTGAAACACGGTAAAGAGATTTTTTCTACTTTCTTGTCTTATCAGAAGAAACAGAAATGGATATTAATTCTAGGACACACCTATTTTTAAACACAGAAGTGTCCTCGAGAGTAGTACTCACATAATTCATAAAGTCATTAGCAGGTACAAGTAGGCCTATAAGTGCATCCCTATAGAGGAACTATTTCGAAGCAATGGCAGTAGAAATAGTAAAATACTTAGGAATTAAAGGAAGTGCTTTGTGTTGTGCAGGTTTTCAAACGCTGTAGACCGGGTTAGGTCACAGAAGCCACAACAACAGGGAGTTAAAGGGCATGCATTAATGATCTCTAACAAAGGCCAACTGGAAAATAAAAAAGCACAGCACTAGACCTACGTCTTCATCAAAGCTCTGTGCGTGACATGTTTGATTGGCATTTCAAAGCAGCATGATTAGCAGATTAACCTCTTATCATTCTGCCTAATGCCAGACTAAAATTATTCCCAATTCAAACTGAAGCTGGCCCTGAACCCTGCAGGCTATACACAAATGTCTGGACTCTGTGTGAAGCTGATTCTCTGTAGCTTTTGCCTCTGCTGTCTGATTTACTCTAATAGTAACAGGCTATGCACAGAGGGACATCCCATTTCAAATCCCACTTTTTGGGGTAAATATAAGGATGAGTAAATATGTGCTGTTGGTAGACCTGTAAGGATAATTACTATATCGACTTATCATTCAATATAAGGTAACTGCAACAGTGTATTATGGAGCTCAGTATTTATCGTGTTTAGATTTTTGGCAAAAGTGGGGAGATTTTTGTTATTTTTGCTGTAATACGGTAAGATTTGGACCAGAGAGGGTTGAGTAAGTGGCTTCTGTGGCTAATTATTGCTTCATTCTGCTATTTATTTGTTGCAGCTCAGGCCTTTTAATGATACCGTATGTTTAAATAATGGTTCACTATTTTGTATTATTGTTATTATGTCAGTGGCATGAGGCAATTTCCGTATTATCGTTTATCATTCTATTTCTTTGTAGCAATGTGTTGTGTTTCAAAATGTGTTTTTGTGACAGAACTAACATTGACTGAGCATCTGTTGGGTCCTGACCATTCCCATTTCAAAGCCGAAGCCAGTATCACTAAAATGAGACTGTTTGATTGGACTGAAAATAAGTGGTTTATAGCGTTCCTTTTATGTTTTATGCCCAGGAGCTTGATAGTTTGCTTTTATTGAGAAATAAATGAAAACACATTTTAAAGGGCTCTTATTACTGTATTTTCGGATCTATGTCATAATGTTTCCTCATCAAAAACGTACCTAGAGTTGTGTTGTGTTTTGTTTCATTCATACACATTTAACACACAAACCCTGCAGATTTAGGCTGAGGTCTTCTCTCAAACAGAAAACACTCTGTTTCACCTTGTGATGTCATGTGGTAATACTGGAAGAGCACTACTGTGTTTTTAAACTCCATACTCCTTCATTTGAATCATGTGGATGATTTCAGCCCTGGAGCTGTCAATTTCTACTGAACTAAAGGTAAAGGGAGCTGTTAACTTGAAAAGTAACACTTCATGACCTCACATTTTGAGCTTTGGAGATGTAGACAGACTAATAATAAAGGGTTGCTTAAACATGAGGCAAAACACAACTCCAGATATGTTTTTCATGACACTCTAAAATGACTTAAAGCTCACAAGAGTCAATTTTGTGTAGTATAGGACCTTTTCGGGGGTTAAAACTTTACTCTTTTGTGATATACCACAATACCAGCAGCCTACAAGGTCACAGAAAGCGTCTTCATGTGTTTTTCTCAGCCAGTTGGATCGACCACCCTTGTACACCTGCACCCCAGAGGAACAATAAGCGCTAGATCCCGTTAATAGCTCCCTCTGTGCAGACTTACCCTCTCTGAGCAGATGGGAGTAGATGAGCCAGAGGAGCAGCAGGCAGCAGAGTGACGCACCTCCACCTGCGGACAGCGTCTTCACTCCAGACTGCATCCTACACCTGCAGCTCTGTCGGCGTAGGTAATCCAAAGTTTGTACACTCGACACGGCTTCAGATGTCACCCAAATCAGCGAGAAAGTGGCTAATCCAGTGGGGTCTCCGCAGCCTGTCGTCGGCATCCATTTTGAGCTTCTAAAAAAGGATAGGGAACAGATGTAACCCCCCTTTTTAAAATCCCTCTGAGAGACGCATATCCACTTAGAGGTTTTTTCACTCACCGGGCTAAAATGTCACCAGTTTGTTACAAGTTCTCAACTAAACGCAGCATAGTCTACTTGCTTTTGTTCATTTTGAAGAGAAAACGCTTGGGTCCCCCGCGGTTTTGCCCCGTCTCTCGTCTCCTCTCGGTGGTGCCGTCGGTGCTGTTGGAAATGAAATCAGCACTTGTGGACGTCTTCTCCTTCTCTTCCCACTGCGTCGCAATCAGCCTACCTCCAACTTTGGAAGCGTTTCTTTGCGTAAAACCACAAACGAAGTTAACGCAGGCTGCAGGTGGCTTCGAATAGAAAACCCAGTTAAAGGCGCAAAAGGTTGTGGACCCGAGGAGACGAACTTTACTGTACAGGCACCGAGTCACCTGCGCGAGTCACCCTGGAGATGCGCGTGGCGATGGAAAGAAAAGTAGCGTATTCACCCTCAATGTAAGGCGTTATTTCCAGTTCTTGTCATTCATAAGGCGTTTTGGTTCGGTGTTTCAGGCAACGCCGGAAACGCATGCCTTCCCTCCTCTCTGGGAGCGCTGGAGCCGGAGTTAGCTGGAGTCCACCGCTCTCCATCTGCTCTCCTCCCTCTCTCTCTCCATCGCGCACGGGTAGGCTAAAGGAGCGCCCACAGCACGCACGAATATACAGTGTGTCCTACTTCCTCCTCAAAGTGGGAAAAAACTTTACGCTCCGGGCAATATATTCTAAACTGAAGACACGAAACATTTCATTATAGCCTATAAATCTTGGAGATGTGGTGATTTTACATATAGGCTTCATCTACGCGTTGTTCTAGGCAAGCATTTTTTCACATGTGCCATTAAAGAGCCTATATTACGTTATTTTATAAGTTCTAATGTTGTTTCCTGATCAAAAACATACCTGGAGTTGTGTTTCATTCACGCATGTTTAACACACAAACCCATTCTAGCCCTGGATTTCCCCATTTCTACTCAATGAAAGGTAAAAGGCAGCTGTTAATCTCCAAACTACTACTTCATAACATTTTAAGGTGGGACATTTTAAGGTTGAGCTTTGAAGATAAAGGGTGAATAAAACAAAACTCTGGTGTGTTTTTGAAGAAGTAACAATGTTCTAACATGGCTTAAATCTCACAAGAGTCTATTTTGCATAATTTGAAACTATCAAGACCTACACAGTTAATATTTTTGAAAAAATCTGTGTGAACTTTTTCTTTTTAGGACAGGAGGTACAGAAATATGAGCACCAGGTTACTTCTAAAAAGCTCTTTAAAGAATGGCACATTGGCTGGTGCAGCTGCTTCATGACATCAGTGAGTGTACTTGTCCCAAGGGCGGATGTTGCAAAAAAGAAATCATAATGAAGGAAGAAGGAACTTGGCTATTTTTAAGACACGGCAGAAGCCTATTCACTGTGAAATACTGACTAGGTTATGTCCTATGTAAAGGGAATTTAGGGGCAGATTGGGCTACATTAGCTACTAAGGAAACCTCAATCTGTGTTTTTTTTCCACATAACTGCTGATTAAAACTGATGTAAATAGGCTACAATGGGGGAATGATAAAATAACTGTCATACAGGCTTATTACCAAAACAGTGTGCCCATCCTGTAATCATCTTATAGGCTTCCAAGCACAAATACATGCACTGTATCCTGCAGTGTGCAGTGTTATACAGAAACTGGAGGACTCATCACAAGATCGTACTTAAAACTTACTAAATGTTTGAAACTCATTTTCTTTAACTTTATAAAAAACAGGATAACAGCCTCATGCCTGTCCCATTCTCACAGCTACCAATCATTTTTTCATTTGGTCACACCAAAATGTGATTTATGCTTCTGAGTGTCCAGTCAATTTCACATTAAAGTGCAAATAAATGGCACATAAAATGCCATAACACTTTAACATCAACTCCTTCAGTAGAGATAAGACACTTACGCAACATGCTTAAAACCTACATTTGGAAGTCAATATTATTTTTCCTATAATTATTCATTTTATATTGGCTACAGTACAGTTAGAGTTGCATTTGTCAGATTGTTTAGTTCTCTGTGTTTGTGTGGGTATGATATGTGGTTTTCTGAAGGAGCACCTTAAACGTTTCTCCCCTCGAGGTCCATAACTATAACTCAGCTGCCTTACGCACACTTATGCAGGCCAGATTCCATGACCAGTAAATGTGCACTTTATTAGCAGATGGAGGAGTTGTGTGTGCGCGCTGCAGTGCTATCAGCCTCTCACTGAGTGGCTTTTATGATGACGTATCGGTGCTAGCCAAGGCCCATCACATCACAGCTGTATAGCCTGAAAAATGACTCTGGAGCTTTTGTACTGGGGGTACACTAAACCAGTGCTCTGCTGTCGTATCATTGTGATTTCTGCATGACCACCACAAGCCCCACCAGACTTCACTGCAGAAAGAAAGGAAACCATTCAAATCTATAAACTAGTCTCCCAAGTTCAACCCTTTACTGAGTCTTAAAGTGACAAGTGCAAATGAAGTGACGCGCATACCCTTAAAGACCACTTTGTGCCACTGATACAATAACACAAAGCCTTAACCATATTGTTAAAAAAATCTGCTAAAATATAAAAAGTTAGTATAATGAGATGCAAATTATTCAATTATCATGATCTCTGAGGATAGTGAACAAAAATAAAAATAAAAGAAATAAAAAAAACACAAAAGAAATAAAAATGGCTTGAAAGCTATATTGTCATTTTGCCATAGCAATAAATAATGTATCCCATTAAAGCATAGAAAATAAATTGTTCAAGCCATGTTTTTATCATTTCCAATTATGGAGACATCTTTTAATTTTAAAGCTCTGTCATACAATTTATGATTCTGCTCTCCATTTTAAGTGATAAACTAACTTGGCACAGAGACTGTACTCCTAAGAAAGCTAAGTAGCATCAGGGTCAATACACAAATGATAGAATCTGTGTACAGAGATTCCACAGTGCTTTACCGTTTCATGTGACTGCAGGCACAATCACATGATGCTGAGCCTGAGGACACTAAATAAAGCTAAATAAAGAATACACTATCAGACCCCTCCCACTGCCTGAACCTGCAGTTTGAGATTCTGCACTCTGGGAGGTGGCACAACAAAATGTGTCTTAAAACAGTCTTTAGTCCCCTGTGCTGTGGGCATTCTGAATACAGTGGCAGTTGAATTGTGTGAGTCACTGTGTAGATAGATACATTAGATATAATGTTTTTGCTGTGTTTTACTGGGCTGGTGGTGCTGCAGTTTTACATGCAGTTTTACATGCTATGTGCAGCAGTTGTCTCAAGTGGTTCTTTAGGAGACCGCATTGGCCCACCCATGGGACAGATGTACTGTGAATTTTGCAGAGTTCCTTAATACCCAGTCCAACATCTTCATTGGCATTAACATAAACTTATACATGGCCTCGCCTTCTCTGCAAAGGATAGTATATGTGATCAATCTCCCATGTTCAACAGAGTGTAGGATGATGGTACACTATACTTCGATCAGTGCCAAGAAGCATTAACACAGGCTTGGGTGGAACTGTAGGTTCCTATGCGCATGCAGATGCAGAGCAAATGCACATGCACGTGCACATGCACATGTAGAAGCAGATCCTCATGCAGATGCATTGATGTTTGAGTGAGGAGCTGTGTAGAACCACACAATGATCATGGGTGTCTGTAATTATTAGTCTTGTCAGTAATTTACTGAATGTTTCTAACATCTTTATTTTGTAAGGTTATATGGTCTGCTATAAAGATTGACCTGAGAAAATAACACAAATCAGAGCAGCACACACGTTGACATTGTGTGATTGTTCTGATGGAAAATGTCAGTAAATTACTATTAATGACCGTCTTCACTGCTAAGCAATAATTACATCCAGCAGTACACAGTAAGTGAGATCATAAATTATTCACCAGCCATAGCAAGGTATTTTTTGTCAAGCACAGCTATTTAGAATGTTGATGCCAGTGTCACATTATAGCATAACGTGCATATGCAATTAAAGTGGGATAGCATAATATAGGTAAACATTCAAATACATATGAGGGAATACAAACTGGCATATTTTCTTTCAAGGCTGTCAGTGACACTGATGGATTATGATTAATTACACTGTGGCCTGCTGAGACGCCACTCACACTCGGAAATGTGCTTTTTGTGCTGATAGCAACATGCAGACAGAAAGGGAAAACAATCCACAACAAGGCGTGGTTCTCGAGCTTTTTCCATGGTCCAGTTGATTTTGCCCTTGAAAAAGGTACTTTCAATCAGCGGGCAGAGAACTGAATCATTGGAGTTTTATATTTACTAAACAATTGTATTTTCTATTAGTAATCTTGTTTATTGTTTTATAAGGGAAATAGTTTATCTGCATTTGGTCAATTCTTCAAGAGGTAATGCTGGACTGTGCAATTACCAGGACTCAGTGAGCAGATCTCGGTCAGGAGCACATAGTAGTTGGAGGATTACTGTACTGCAGTGTGCATGTTTTAGTTTGATGGGGAAACTGTAGTTCCCACAGATATGCCACCTAAATGTAGGCTGTCTTGAGTTGGTCTTAGACTGCCACAGACTAATTTAATTACTGGTATAGTGAGTACAGTGCTCTTTGACATCATTGGCCTTCACCACCATAATAGATGTAGTGTTGTGTGTTGCTATAGTAAGTGCCACATGAAAGCGTGTATATAAAAACATTCTGGGGCCACAATATGTAATCGTCAGCAGTACTCAAGACCACTTCATTTCTACTTTGATTTAAGAGCAACGGCACATATTCTTTATGATCCAAGCGGCTTTA